TTTGAGTGGAGTTATATGGCACATGGCGGTTTGTGAAGTTTTTGGGCTTCATGCTTTGGGGTTTGGTGTTTTTTGGCACGGCTGCAAAATCGATGAGGTCTGGGGCTTCAGCTAGTAACTGAACTGGCCTAGCCGAAAAAAAAGAGATTTAGTGGTATTACGACTATTTTTTATAGAAAGTCAAAAGAAATGACCTTTTAACTCATAACCAGCCACGTTGTATTTCACAGCTCTAAGTTCAACTCGTGCTCTCACTCAATGAGAAATTGCAGAACCTCAACCCATCTCACGGACAGACGTTAAATCACAGCAGCAAAAATAGAGAATCATTCCTTGAAGTAATATAGAGGGCCTGAACGCAACCTAGCCACTTCCAGATGGAAAAAAGAAAGCCCGATGCGGGGCTCGAACCCGCAACCTTTTGATTGACCTTAGAAGATTAAGAGTCAAATGCTCTACCGATTGAGCTAACCAGGCTTTGTTGATTACGAGATAATTCCGGTCTTATATATCGTAATACACACGGTTCTGTGCAAAATATCAAAATTTTCAATATTTTCATTCTGTTTTGTCTTCTACTACACTGGCTCATCTCGCCCGCCAAATTTGAGCCTCCGCGGCCCCAAATTGCATGATTTGTGTGCATTTATTATATTCATTAATCTAAGTCGTCTATGCCCCTTCAGCTATCTCTATTCCCATTAGCTTGGCGGTATCCCGCATGTACTGGTCAATGTAGTCCTCAATACCTTCGCCCCTGCCACCATACCGGTCACCAGTCACGAATTGCCTGATTCTGAAGAGCCAAAATATGACATCACTAAGGAAGAGCGAAATCTTCACCTTCAACAACTGAATCCATGGACCGGGGTGACGAAGGGAGAACGTTCTCTCCTCTGCAAGAGTTTGCAATGCGCAATTCGTGAATAGATTGATTCTGTTAACTGGACTTCCCATAGTCTGGTTCAAGTTTTGCATCATTCTCATTGAACGCAGAAGGAATAGCATCTGTAATGGGAACTTCGTCTCATCTCCAAGAAAGCTTTTGATAAGATCGTACGAGCTCGTATTTCTTGCGATGAAATCCTTAGGAGGCGGCTTGAGCTGGACCATGGTCGTCAAGATCTGTGGGTCGCCAATGCCCCACGAATGTGCTATCTCCTCCATCTTTTTCTTATCATAAAGAAATAAGCTCTCCCATATGGTGCAATACTCTTTTCTAAATTTGTCCGGGAGCGAAACGTACAATCCATGGTCCAAGATGACTAACTCTTGCTTCCCATTATGTATTCTGGCCATGAGATTACCAGGATGAGGATCCGAATGGCAGAATCCGTAGTTGAACACCTGTCTTCCAAAGACTTGAACATACTGCTTCATCATAGTGGTGATGTCGAGTTTCGCATCTATCAACTTCTGCTTGTCAGCGAGAGAGATACCATCTATCCATTCCGTGACGAGAATCAGCCCTCTAGTGTAGTCATCGTAGTTTTTTGGAATATAGATATTCAACGAATCCATTGCTGGGTCGTGTGCTAGAAGGCCTGAGAGCTTTGCAGCGTTTGCTGACTCATGCCTAAAGTCAGACTCCTTCACCAATTGGTCCGAAACATACTGGGTGAAGAATGTCAACGGAAGATCAAAAATCTTGGAATACACCCACGACATTGCTCTGTAAATGGCCAAATCAACGTTGATCTGCTTGGCGATGTAAGGATGCTGGACCTTCACGGCCACTTCCTGCTGTTCTTTCTTCAACTTTGCTTTATGTACCTGGGCAATCGATGCCGAGGCCATTGGCTTACGATCGAACTGCTCGAAGATGTCCTTTTCGTAATTCTCACCAAGTTGCCGTCTGAGCGTTCTGTCTATCTCCGCCCAAGGGTCCTCAGGAGCAGCATCGTACAAATTGATGAAACGCTTTTGGTATGCCAATGGGAACACAGTTCCGTTGTTGGCAATTGCCTGACCAAGCTTGATGTAAAGGCCCTTGTTGGCCGAGAGCATCTGGAGAAGCTTCTCAGATGCCTTCTCGTGGAGATCGTCTATCTTGTCGTACTTCTTTGCATTGACTCCGTATTGGTAAGCAATCCATAAAAGCACGTAAACTGCACGAGCAGAACGTTGCAAAAGTGACAGGTAAAAGTACTCGTCAATGCCGTAAACAAGCACAGATGCTCCAGTGGCTGCAGCTATGATCTTGAATGCTTTGGGTGTTTTGGCCTTGCTACCAGTAGCATAGGTTCTTTGGAACGATCGACTGAATGCAATTCGTCTGGTATGCCGAAGAGTGCCTTGACGGTATATCCCGTGGCATCCTCGAAGGCCTAGCATGATGTAGAAGTAGTTGGTAGACTTGTTCAGTGTCATTGCATATAGCCTGTGATAGTAGCAACAAAGCACGGCGTATCTGGCGGATTTTGTGATTATGAAAAACCGTCGAGAATGTGAAAGCAATTATAAATGAAATTGAAAAGTCGAGATAAATCATTGGGCTGCATTGGTTGGCTCGTTATGTTGACATGTTTAAGCTTTACAAAATTGAGCCGTTCTGATTCGCACCCCGGAAGTCAAGGCTTTATGCTGGTTTCTGCCAAAACCATACCTACCCCACAAACCTAATAAAACCATTTAGGTAAAAACAACAAAATCTTCAAAAGCCACCTTCCCAATACATTAAAAAAAGCCAATCCCTTAAATTCCTACCCTCAATACCCCATTGACCGCACCACACGCCTTGGATCAATTGGGTTCTCTGGATACCTCGGCGCGAAAAAATCACACAAGAACTACGTCTAATCCACCCCAATGTTCAGATTGGCATCCACCACGCTCCGTTCGGCCGCTCGTCGTTACCTGACTGCTCCTGCTGCTCCTGTGACTCCTACCAAGAAGGTCGGTGCTTTCAGAGGTGGCTTTGTTGGTTTCTTCTTTGGTGTCCTGGTAGCCGGCACTGCTTCCTACTACTACATGATCGATGCGTACAAGAAGAACACCCAGATTGTCATGACTGACGTGCTCAAATTGAAAACGTCCTTGGACTCCTTGGAGAAGCACGTGCGTACGTTGGAAGAACAGAAAAAGTAGACCAGGAGAGGCCCATATATTCTATATACATCATTTCGTGATTATGCAATTGTAGGTTTAGAGGGTGTTGATGAACCCAAGCACCCTGTCGAGAAGCTGGTCGAACTCCTCCCGGCTTGTTTCGGCGGCGTAGTCGCCAACAAACCTGATCTCGATGCGTTTACCTCCTAGACTTCCTCCCTCAACCACAGACACATGGACCATCTGCTCTGTGCCGTCTTCCTGGGGCAATTCGACGGCAATTTCACGTCTGTAAGATACGTTGAGGTAATGGTAACGGACAGTCTTGCCGTTGATGACAAGGTCAATAGTGGGTGCTATCGACGTGGGTGCTCTTCCGCTGTAGTCAAGAGTAGACTTCTCAAGGAAGTCAACAACACCGGGCTGGCTGGAGAAACGCAGGTATCTGTCGATGGTGGAATCTAGCGTTTGGCTGATCGACTGGTCCTCGATATCTGCGTCTTCTTGCTCTTCGAGTATTCTTCCCGTCATTTGGCAGCTGATCTTGATGTCACTTTTGGCATCTGGCAAGCAAACAAGACTAGAGTTTTCACCCTCCACCGAAACAATCTGTAAGGTGTCAACGTCAGGCATGAGATTGGCCTTAAGCTGCACCCACATTTCAACTGGCGGATATTCCATGGCCTTGTCAGTCTCCAGCGATGCAACGAAGGGCGATGGAGTAAACTTGAACTGAAGGCTGTACATGTGAGGATCCCTATAACTTGGGCTGGAAGAGTCGTTTGCACGCATGGAGATGATCTTGTCGTGAGCCAACATGACATTGGAGTTGAAGAGCACCAGCTTATGCTTTTGTTCCAAAGTGGCCGATGGCACAATGTTTTTCTTGTTTGTGGGTATCTCAAACAACACATTTCCAAGCGTCACCGTGAAGAGCTTGGGGTCTAAGTTATCCGCCGCCACTCCTGGCAACGATTGTTTGTACTTGAAGTCTGTGAGCTCTTTGTACAATTGATCCCGTTGCTCTTTGGAAAGGGTGATATTAGATGTTTGCTCAGAAGGTGGTGGTTGCGGAGTTTCGGTGGATTCGCCTCCGAAACCAAGGCTTTCGAGAAGATCCCATCCCTTGCTATCACTCTGCTTCTCTGCAGCGGCCTTCAAAGAAAGTTTGTCGTCTTCATCACGCCACGTTTCGTCATACAAATCGATTTTTGAAAGCGACTCATCAGAGAATTTGGCAAGCTCGTCGAGAAGGAGCTGACTTGGTTTCTGATCTTTCTTTTCAAGGACATATAAATCCTTCGACCTATCCTTCCAGGCTAACAGATCGTCCTGCTTGAAAGGAAGGAAATGGTGTGGCCCTTCGGGCAAATGCAAGAACTCCTTAGTATGAAGATTGTAGTTAAGGAGCCATAAGAGAAGACGCTTGGTTCGCTTGAGCTGATTCTTATTAAGCGCGTAAAGCTCGTACTTGTCGTTTTTAAGCGGATCAAAATAGACTTCTGTGTTGCTGCCAACTTCTGCAACATTGAAGTGACCGTGCTGTTTGAGGGCCAACTTCTTGACCACAGAGAGGTCGATCTCTTCCATATGAGCGCCCTCCAAATCCGAAGTCAAATTGATCTTGGCGTTTTCAACCTGCTCTGGCGTGCCTGTGAGGAGGAGCTTTTTGGACTCGCTATCGAACTCAATCTTGGAAACAGCGCTTCTGATGTGTCTGAGGATGAGGCCATGCGACAGGAGAAGGAGGAACATTTCGTACCGCGTCAAGGGTACACTTTCGGTGACAAGCAAATCATCAAGAGACATTTCCTTGACATTTGTAGTCCAGATCTTTTCCAAAATGAAGGAGGCCAATTTCTGCTTTGTACCTGCTTTGAGTCCCTTGAGAGACCCATGTTTCTTGAGAATGTATTCTTGTAACTGCAGCGCTTTGAAGCCCTTGCAAATATCACTCACGACGGCCGCTTTCTTACCTATACTAATATCGGCACTTGATGGTTTGAAGAGCTCGATGGACTCCATGAGTGACTCTTTGGTGGATGTAGGTGGTTTGATTTTGATGGCGTCGTCTTCAAGGAGTTTCAACATTTGCCGAGGGGTCTGGCGTCTGCCTTTGCGATTGACCTCCTGAACATATTTATTGTACTTTTTGTCCTTGGTCTGTTCTGGGCTAAGAATGAGGATCCGCTTTCTGGCCTTCGGTAGGTTTTGGGTTTCTTTGGAGTAAGGCACGTCTTTGAGCGCCTTGTGCACGAAAGAAGGGTATCGTGACAGATTCCTTGCGACTAGGCCAGTGGAGAAGTAGCGAATGGGAGTGCTCCACGGCATGCTGATCGGGCCTTTCTTGATGGTGGATGGGTCTCAGGATGAGCTGAAAAACCATGGTTTATGATGCACGTGCAGTTCACGTGGCCAGTCATGTGACGCGCATGACATGGCTTATGGCTCCAGAGCATAACCACCATCGTCTCAGGCCACTGATCGGTTAACTACACCCTGATCAAAGAATCAGGCGTTGATAAAAAAAGTGAAATATTTTGTGGTTTGATTTTTCGATTTTGTGGGGTACCCCGCGTTTTATTTCTGGCACGGCCTCACGACAGTATACGGCAGTTGCCAGCGGGAGCCTGTTTTTTGAGAGAGTCAGGCAGCCCCGCAGGTCAGTCAGCACAAAACCGCATTTATGAGGAAAACAGAAGCGAGGCCGAAGGCCGTTGAACTTTTTGGAATATGATGGAATTTTTTTATTTCAGTTCTTGCTACGGAGACCAGAAGTTGCTCAGGTTCAGATTGTGAAAGAAAAAGAAAACTACGAACAAGGCCCCAAAAGTTGCTTGGGGCTTTTTGACTTTTTCTCGGATGGGGAGAAAAATAGCGAGCCATCAGGCGAGAGGCTAGGACTGCCCCACCAGTTGGGCCCCAAAAAACGGTCTGTTTTGAAAACACCCCAGTGCTCCTGCCCCATAGTTCCTGCCCCATAGTTCCTGCCCCAAGGATGAATGATACTACCATATTCGTAACCCATGACATTCGGAATTTTTGTGACACCCATTAAAAATCCCCATTGTGCTGACTCCGGCTCTTCCTTGTTCTTTCATTTGTCCAGACAAGACTGTGTTCAGGCAGTCATTGTAGTTTATTGTGTAAACTTTCGGGCGGGCCGGTTACAATAGGTGAGGCACGCTGCTCAGGTACCCTTGGCACTACTGCCGTGGCTCTTATCAGCAAGCGCAAAACCAACAAAGCGGTATGGCCGGCTGACCTTATGAATATTTTTAATTTTTTGAACTTTTGACCTGCTCGTCTACTCCCTTGCTTACTCTTTCCTTTTGTGATCGTCTCCTTTCTTAAAGTTGCTTCCCCTGGTGCCCGGTAACTTTTTTTTTTCGCAGAGCTTCGATGCCCGGCGGGTACCCATAGGGCATAATACAGCGAGGGAAAAAACAGCGAAAGCGACAGCGACAGCGGCATTCCGCTAAAAAAAGAGAACAAAATGGGAAAATCAATTCTTACACGGAAACAATAATCAGGGCAAATCCTAAACAACTTAATTTTCCCGATTTCAAATTAACCGGTGGTGCCGAGTAGGTCGTCTCCAGGGGTTGCTCCACTCCGCTTATCTCTACCGGTTTGCAGCTCCCGTTTCTTTTCCGCACGGCATCGCAGGCTATCTTCGGCCTGACCGGTCGGTCAAACCTCCCTTTCACCTTGTGCCACAGTAAAAATTTGTGACTGGTTCTTCTTTCCTAATTCCACTATGATCATCCCCCCACCTCTTGTATCCTTTCCCCCTAGCCACAAACGGCTCCATCGTGGCGCTTTCCCTTGCCTGTAGGAGAAAACGGCTTTTCGACTTTGACATGTCGCCGAGAGCCACCTGCAGGTCTACAAAGCATGACCCACAGAAGGTCAGCGTTGGCGATAAGCGACCCTGGTCTATGTGCCGTCCGTCCCCCATAGTCAACGGCATCAGCCCTCGCGGAGTTTTTCCCTCATGCGCGCTGCTCGCCATGCCATACCTTATCAGGCCGCTCGCTGTGTCTCACCTTATGGGTTTGCAGCCAGCTATAAAAGGCGGGTTTCCCCATTGTACCTACTTTTTTGTAGCTTATTTCTGATAAACATATAAACATATTCTAATGATCAACCCACTCCGGCAGACCCGTGTCCCTCTTCGCTTGCCCCTTCGCTTGCAGGCCTTGCCTCTACGCCAGGCTAGAGCTTTCCACAGCTCCCCTAACAAGAACAACCTCGCCAGAGTCACCTCCGAGTCTCAGCAAACCCAGCAGCCACAGGTGCCTGCTCAGGAGTTGCAAAAAGCTCTTCCTTTGACTCCTCCATCCTTCGCTCACCTCAAGGATTTCTCCGTTGGCGAGTTGTTCTCCTTCATGACTATTGGTGCCGTTGCATCCCACAAGTCTCTTTTGAACTTGGCCATCAAGGCTTTCCCTTTCGTGCCTATGCCTTTGATCAAGGCTTTGGTCTACAACATCTACTGCGGTGGCGAGAACATCGAAGAAGTTAAACAGACCGGCGCTAGATTGGCTGACAGAGGCATCAACAACATGATGCTTTCTTTGACCATCGAGGCCTGCAACGGTAACGACAACATCGACCCTGACTTTATTGTCCAGCAGACCCAGCACTCTGTTGACGAAATCTTGATTCCTCACACTATTTCCATGCTTGAGACTTCCGGTAAGGACGTTAACTCTGTTCCTCCAGGATATGTCGCTTTGAAGCCTACTGGATTTGTCAAGAACGCCGCTGCTGTGTTGAAGAACTTCGACCAGCCAGAGTACAAGGCTGAATTCGAGGACTTGGTTTCTAAGGTCTCTGCTATCTGCCAGACCATTTACGACTCCAACCAGAGATTGGCCCAGTTGTACCCATCCAGAGTCGCTCCTTTCGCTGTTGGTGTTATTGACGCCGAGAAGCACGAGCTCCAGGAGGGCGTTTACGAGCTTCAGAGAAGATTGTACCAGCAGTTCAACAAGTTGGACGCTCCTGTTTCCGTGGTTGGCACCTTGCAAATGTACTTGTCTGAGTCTTCTGACCTTTTGGCTAAGGAGGAGAAGTTGGCCAACGAGAACAACTACAGATTGGGCTTGAAGTTGGTCAGAGGTGCTTACATCCACTCTGAGAAGGACCGTGCCACTGTCATCCACAAGACCAAGGAAGACACCGACATGAACTACGACCAGGGTATTTCTTACTGCATTGACTCTATCTTGGCCCACCAGGGTAACGAGTCTACTATTGGCCACTTGGTGGTTGCTTCTCACAACGCTGAATCTATGAAATTGGCTACTCAGAAGACCTACCAGAGTGAGTTCTCTATTGGTAACAAGAACAAGGCCAACATCTGCTTAGGCCAGTTGTTGGGCATGGCCGACTCCGTCACTCACGACCTTATCTCCAACGACAAGGTCGACAACATCATCAAGTACGTTCCATGGGGCCCTCCAAAGGAGACCAAGGAGTACTTGTTGAGAAGATTGGAGGAGAACGGCGATGCCGTCAAAAACGACAACGGCATTCCTTTGGTCAAAGCAGCTATTCTGACCATGTTCAGAAAGATCTTTGCTTAGATGCAATTTATTATATAACGACGTAATGCATTATAGACTTTATAAACTCACAAATCCGTAGGCTGTTGGCCGCCAGACGAATCCGCTTATAGTACACTGAACCACCCATTCCCAATCAATAATTCCAAACTTCGCCAGCCCAGCAGGATTATTTGTTTTGAATGCTTTTTCGATCTCCCGATTACTGTTATCAAGCACCAAGAAACTCATGTCCTTATTTTCAGCGATGTGGGATTTGAGGTGGGTTTCATTATTGAACGCCTGTAGGGTTTGAGCCCCAAAAGCATGAAAGATGAATTCACACATTCGAAGTGTCTGTTTGTCTTGTCTTTTCTGAAAAATTAAAACATTCAAAGTTGCCATTAGGTCCGAGTTATTGTTAAACTGGTCATTAAGACCAACACCGTTTTCGAGATTCAGTCGAAAGCGGAAAACATCTTGACTCTTTAGATTTTTTGTGTAGAAGGATTGACCTGCCGGTAGAAGGAAAGCCAGCCAATTTTCAAGAATATCCTGATCCTCGATGGCTTGTTCAATGAAATTGTCTGCCAAAATCGGCCAGCCAAGTGCCAAGGCTTGAAGGTATTTGGCACTTCTTGAGTGTCCATCGGAGAGAAATGCCCCAAAGCTAATACCAAGAAATTTCTGCAGCTTGATTCGGAGATGGTATGAGCTGCATACTTCATAAGAAACAAGATCTCTGATTTCTGAATCGTAGACTATCCCTCCTCGATCTTCTATTATTTTCTTCAAAGTAGTTTTGCGTTCTGGAGCCATAGACGTGATGAAGAACACACGGCCACCGAAAATAGGTGTAAGCCTATACGATTCGCTTCGCTCTGGTTTGGCTTTGCGTGGGCTTTTGGTCTTCGGCTCAAAAACTGGCTCAGAGTTTTCTGTTTTCTGTGATGAGTCCAGCAGCTGAAGTAAAGGCTGTATGGCACCGTAGTCTCGCTGTACTAGATCGACGCCCTCGTACAATAACTGAAATCGCAGCTGATGCATTGCCCAATCATCAGGTTCCATATAACAAGTGGACAAGCTTACTGTGAGTTCGCTGGCCACATTGTGTTTTCCTTTCTTCGATAAGTGAAGTGTGTCAAAGCCACGCACACATCTGAAAGCTGCCTCGTCCGTTATAGTCATTCTCGTGACGACATATTCGGAGGGGGCCATGAACGTCCTTAGATTATCGCCGATTCTCACGTCGAGGACAAAGAGGTCTGTATTCTTCATTTCCTTTTGGCACCAGTCATAAAACTCAACAAGGGTGTGAAGCGAGTCAATCGGCCGAAGCACTCTTGCTGGGTAGTATCTGAATTGGAAATAAGCCCACACGCCTCGATCGTTCTCGAGATGTTCAACTGCAAGTGTTGCCAGGTTCTCTTCTGTGATAGCATCAAGCTCCGCCGTTTGAGATTGAGAGCCTGCTATATGGTTGATTCTCCTTTTCTTGGGTAGATTAATATGCTCGCGGCTCTCGTCAACCTCCGGCAGCATCGGAATATCTTCTGACAGCTTTTGTCGGAGAATGTCCAAATCAAGACCACTTACATCCTGGGAGATATCTTCAAGGTCAGATGAGGACTGGCTCCATGTTTTCCTGACCGTGAGACTGCTCCCAGCAGGGGTTTGGGAGGATGATTGGCTCCAAGATGTTTTTCTCGGTATCAGCAAATGTCTTCTTCTCTCCTCCAGTTCGTCTGCTTGAGTCTTCTTAAGCTTGTGTTTGAAAAGACTGTCCTCATAGAAAATGCCGTTGAAATGCTCGTCCTTATCATCATTGCTGATGATGCTTAGATCGTGTTCCCGCTGCAGCAGAATACCGTCGTTATCTTTCTGACTACTCAGAAGCACGGGCTTGCAACTTAGATCAACTGGTTCTTTTCCAGGCAGAAACACCTCCTCCTGCGTGTTCAACACCTGAGTAGTAGGCTCCTGCTCTCTCTGCACTGGCGAAAGCACCATGGTAGTAGTGTGTTCTTCGGTGTATTCTGAATAATTGGCCCTAGGAGAACTCGTAACTTGGGTGCTGGCGTAGCCGCCCACCACCTGTGTGATTGGCTGTGTGCTTTCCCAAACTGAGTTTCTCCTACCTATGACCTGGGTGGCGTCGTCCAGAGGAATAGGAGCAATTCGTTGTGTATCGTCTGTGTGGCCATTCACGGTTGGCCTGATTACTTGGGTATCACCGAGATCGACCTGATGCCCAATCACTTGAGTATCACCTAGCTCGACAGGAGCCTTCTCGTTCGGCGTCTGGATATGTTCACTTCCAATAACTTGTGTGTCTTTGGCATAACTATCACTGGCACTTCGATGTAGTAAACTCGGCGTACTATGCTGTGGCGTGGATTCGATATTGGGCATGCTTTGTAGGTATCGTATTGGAGAATGTGATTCATCCTGAGACTGCTGGGAATATGATTTGAGGGTCCCAAAGAGGGGACTCGTCTGGACCTCTTTCGATAGATCGGTGCTCCTGTCAGCTTGAGTGGCCGTATCGTTGGTACCTGGAATTACATCATCTGAGCTTGCCTTGGGCCCATTGTCCTCCTCGTACTCAGTGGCGAAAACGAGGCTGTTATTGTGCTGTGATTCGCCGTATGCTTCCTCAGGCATAACATCAGCTAGAGATTATCAACGCGCGGGTGTAGGTCGATTTTGGTGATAGTACTGGGGAAGTGAGGATGGGGCATTTTTTGGCAAGAAATGTTTCTATGGAGGTTTTTGAAAAAATTGCAGGGCATGTTATCTATCGAAAAGACTGGTAAAGTGATTTTGAATAACGAACTTAAATCAGGTGTACTCTTTGTGGGGTAGCTGAAGATCTAGGGCCCAATTGCATACTCATTTCGAAGAAAAGTATCAAACTCCATTCTGAGTTCACCCCTCCTACAGTCTACAAACTTCGATAACACAACAATAATTATTTATATAAATACCCTCAATCCACATCGTGTGTGACGATGTGTGTCGTGGATAGGATTACAAGACGGAACCATGGTTCTGAGTCGTCACACATTAAATCTATATGATACAATTATTCGGCAAGCTATTGGTATTGCTGCCGTCCGCCCTGCTCCGCCTGTTGCAACAACAGAAGAAGCGCCTGCGGGTTTTGATTCATTTGAGGGTTTTGGTTGACCAACGTTGAAAGATAGTGGAGCTGGTCTTGGGAGAGATCTTGCGGGATCTGTGGTTGTCCGTGATGCTGTGGAACTTGAGGCAAGTGTGGAACTGGCTGCTGAACGCCAGAGCTAGCACCTCCACCAAGTTTCAGCAAAATGGAATTAAGGTCCACCTGTGGAGGTGGTTGGGCAATTCTGGGTGCGCTTTCGGAAGGAGACTTCTTGAGAATACTCTTGCCAACGGGGATGTAATCCTTTTTGACAACAAACACAGCATACAAGCCTTCCTGTTCCTGGACTTTGGCGAATTTCAAGTATTCAGGAACATTGTTGCCGTTCAAGGCGAAAACATAGGCATCTTTGACACAAGCAGCCCGGTTAGACAAGACACCGACCTTGTTCTTGTGGAGTAAGTAGTCATACAATTTGTTGAATTCGGCTTCTCTGTCTTTTGCATTGAGCTTCACGACATACAAATCCCTCGATGACGTGATTTTCCCAAGGTATGGGTCAGCTTTAGCACGGTCCAAACGACCTTCGATGTCGTACTTGGACCGTTCCAACAACTCCTTGCACACACGGATCACACGATTGTGGAAGCTCGCTGTAACATTATCTTTTGGTTTTTCGTATTTTGTGCAAGAAATGAATTCTGCTTTTGCAGTAAAAGCCGCAAAGTCAGGGAAGATAATCTCTCCGTTCCAGAAGTTGACGGGCATCGTAGGCGGAAGCTTCACTTCTGGTTTCTTTGGAATCGACGGAGGCAGTTGCTTTGGAGCTGGTGGAGGAGAAGGACCCTTCAAGATGAAATCAAGCTCGTCGTCGCTGAGATCATCTTTCTTTGTTTCAGGCTCTTCAGTTTTCTCCTCATGCTCTTCCTCCTTCTCATCATCATCATCGTCTGCCAAATGGTACATCTTTGGCGCCAGCGGATCGGTCTTGATGGTGGTTTCTCTTGGAGTAGGAGACTCCTCTTTGAAGTTGCGGTGGTCCACGGTACGGGCCATGATAGAAACGTCTTCGGCATCCAGAGGGTTATTGCTGATTTCGACAACTTCTTCACCCTTGTGAGTACGGCGAATTCTCTGACTCAGAGGATCATCAACGGTAAGCACAGAGCGTCTGATCGACTCCTGGCGAACCTTTTCAGCGTATTCCTTTAAGTCACGGTCGATCTCCTCTGGTGGCTTGGATACAGCATCTGGAAACGTAAGCGAACCATCAGCAAGTTTTGCTGCCACAGCCTCTTTCTTGACGAGCGCCATTACGCTTCTACTCTTGTCTATGTATTTCTTATTTGGCGTCTGCCCGGACCACTGGAATATGGCTTCCTCTAGCCCACGGGCGATAGAATCCGCATCAAACTTGCCGAGTTTGGCCACCACATTCCTTAACGCCTTTTCAACGCTCTCTCTTGTTTTCGTCGCTGGATTAGGCTTGACAGCCTTCTTCACGGGTATCTTCCGTTCCACTCGTCTTCTCACTGGAGCTTCTTGCTCAGGTGAGTCACACCGGTTACACTGGTAGTTCTCTGGGATCAGCGTTTCCGACCGGTATCCCATACACTTGGCATGTTGCCATGTATGACAGTCGTCACATTCGATCATGGTTCCTCCACGATCCGTATCCTCGTTGTAGTTGTCCTGAGTTGTACCGCATGGATCACATCTCACGTCGCCTTCGTAGTCATTTCCGTCACTGTCTGCCTTGAAGTCATCCTCACTCTCGGAAGCCTGCTGATATTCTGAATCTTGTTTTTGCCTCTTCGCTGGGTGCTCGTCTTCTTGAGGTTTGTAGTACACATCAAACAGGTCTCTGCCCGTATGCTGGCCCTTATTCTGCCTAGATGAACGGCGCGGCTCTTCTTCCATTACGGCTACGAGAGGGGACGGTTACTGGGATGGTAAAAAAAAGGGTTCGTTGGTGTTCTTTTTGTTTGATCCTTTGATTTTTTTTAGTGGGGCTACACCTTATATGCCGTACAAACCAGCCAGATTTTTGCAACCACTCTGGTGTCTACTCCATGTTTCCAAAACTATTCATATTCCTATAAGCCCTTGATTAATGCCATGAAATCTCTGTCCTCTCCCATAACCTCTTCGGCGTCTGTGAGCACGTTCGCACTAAATAATCCAGATTTAGTGGGACGATACCCCTCTGACGCTGCTTCCATTGCCGATGCCCGTCTCCTTTTCGCTTTGGAAACACTGCTGTCTGGCAGACCGTGTCCCGTTTCGTTACTTTGGCTGGCCCTCCGTTCTTTCTTACGGCGGCCAGTGCCAAAGTCGTTCTTCATGCGAAAATTGACAATAGGCTCATGGACAGCATGAGGCTGGTGCAAATGCGACTTGTTACGGAAGGCTCCAAGAGGCACCTTCTTCTTTCTGTTGTTGAAGTCTCTCCAGATACGGATGTCGTTTTCGTCATCATTGTCCAACTCGCTGATATTGAGCAACTCTTCGAGTTCGATAGCAGAGTCCTCATGCTCATTCTTTCCAAGACTGATGGACTTCCAGCCTTTGGTCCTTGGGTTCTTCTGTGTATTCTGGCCGCTCTTCAATGTTCTCGTAGAAAGACCATCGATAATGCCAAAAGGTTTGCTCTCAATAGCCACCCAAGTTCCAAGGACTGGAGGTCTGTAGTCCGCAGTCTTAGACGACAAGACTTCCTTAGCCATCTTACTTCCATTCTGGTTTTTGCCAGATTTGGGAAGCGATGTGTCAACATCCGTAGACTCACCACTGTCGTATTCCTGATCTGACAATGGCTCAAGGCTAAACTCACGGTCGTGGGTTGCTTCACGAGTTTCTTTCTCCTGGCGCAAGATCTCTTCGAGAATGAGCTGCTCCTCAACATCCACGGGTTCAGCATTCACGTCTGCATCGGATTCGCTGTCGGAGCTCAAGAAGTAATTCCACAAATAAGAATCGTCTTCCTCCTCACTGTCAAGCGGTCCTCTAGGCTTCTTCCGTTTCTTGTGGCTGGACTTCTTGCGTTTCTCAGGACTCACGGACTTGCTCACAGGGCCGTCCAAAGTGTCGGCATCATTCTTCAAATCCAGAAGACTGCTCTCAGACTCCTTGCTATCGTCCTCAAAAAGCGGAGCATCAAACTCCATAAGATCCATGAAGTCAACTTCATCCTCGTCCTCATCATCCTCGATGTAACCGTCGAGGGTATCAGACTTGGAGTTGTCTCCAGCATTGTCGTACTCAGTCACCTTGTCCTGGAAAACCTGCTGTCCAATGCCTTTAGCAAAGTCGGACTTGCCTGGCTCGTCTTGAATTTCATTCTCGTCATCAAAACCGTTCATCTCGAATTCGTTCACCAAGTACTTCTCCTCTTCCTCCAAGAAAGGATCCATGGTCTCATCCTCATTGACAGAGCTAACCAGTCTCTGTCTCGATCTTGATGAGTCAATGTCCTGAGGATTACCTGTGATGAACTCCTCGATATCGTTGTCGGCTTGCAAGGTGGCCAAAAGATCGTTATCATCGAACTCGTAGTCATCGTCAGACTGGAGTTCATCATCCTTGATCTTAGGCACGTCAATGATGGGTTCGTCAAATTGGAAATTGAGATTGTAAGATTGTTTGTCACCTAAGTCCTGAGTGACCTCCTCACCAACATCCTCCTCTTCGGGTTGTACTGGCTTGATGACATTAAGTGGGTCTTCCTGATCACTGTCATCTTCAATAGCAGATTCGTTAGCGGCATCATCAAAGTCAAACTTGAAGTTGATACTGTCCGGTAAGGGTAGCTCGGACTGTCTTCTGTAGTCTGACTTTCGCCTCTTCTTGTCCTTGGCGTTTTGCTGTTTCTGTAATGCCTTGATCGCTTTGAGAGATTTGTGGGATTTAGCATTAGCTCGCCTTTCAGCCTGGAGTTGAACAAAGTCAACCTCGGAGTCATCGGATGACGACACCGACGAGTTGTCCTCCTCGTCATCGGAGTCGGAATTTGACTCAGAATTGCTATTCGAATGGCCCCTGTCCATCATCGAGTAGATCCCTGTTAAACCGACAGACGAATTGTCATCGTCGTCTACGTCATCGCTAAGGTCATCATCCTTATCGGATTCAAAGACCTGAGCATACGAAGCTTTGGGTCCTTTTTTGGGAGCTCTCTTCTTGGCGGCCTTCGATGGCGCTTTGGTTCTCCTAGGCAATTTGGCATTCTGGAAAAATACCGATCCTTTCCTCAGTGCAGACTGTTCGTCCTTTTCGGACATCGCAGTAAGCGAGGACTCCGAATCCGAATCGGAATGCTTCCTAGTCTCTTCGCTGTATTCGGAAGAGGAGGAACTGACAATGCTGAATCGTCTATCTCTCTTGTATGGCAAATTCTTGATATTCTTGCCCCCGTAATTCGGGGGCTTGTACATTTTTGGGTTCAGTTTCTGGGATACCCCAGATTTCTTCGTTGTTGTTTTCGGCATTTCACACTGTTCCTAATAAGATCTAAGAGCGTATGAGTGGTTTTTTGTTGTAT